CACTTTTGTCCTGCTGCCCACCTGTTATCATTTCATGTGGGAGCCCAAAGCCAGCTCTCAGCAAAAGGAGGCTCGGTGAATCTGAATCACAGACCTTGGAAAACAAGGCTGGCAAACACCTCGTGATTCAAGAAGTTTAGACCCCTGTCCTGAGACCTGCTGATGTGCAACCCGGAGATATAAACCTGGCTCCAAGAAGAATTAAGAAAGGACTTTTTGAGATGATTGTTAAAATCATGTCTAAACCCCTGTAATCCCTCTATCCCCCATGTAATCCTACTAGAAGAAAAATTAACTATTTGGAAACTGCAGCAAAAATTTGTGCAACTCCCCAATTAACATAGCCTGTCCCCTTCATTAACCTGTCCAGCCAGAGATGCCTTTAAATTGTGTTCTCGTGCCCAATAAAGTATTCCAGTTTCCCCAACTGGGATCGTGTCTAGCTTTTATTTTTCAGACCGCCACTATTTCAGATCCTTTCTTTACTCTTTTTGAGAAAGATACAAAAGATCTAAAGGGTCAACACATAATACCTACCACTGTGTCATCCCCTCTCCTGGTTTTTTCCCTGATTGCCCTAATATAGCTGTGGGGCAGGAAGAGTGGTAGTGGCTGACGCTTTTTTGGCTGATGTCTTTCCTGGATAGCTCCCACACATCCCAGAACAGATATTGCCCAGTGTTTTGCAAAGGGTAAAAGCCCAAGAAAGTGATTGTATTTACTGACAGGTTATCCCTGATGCCACAGGACATGCTGAGTTGAAAGGACCCACAAGGATTATCGAGTCCAACCCTCAGCCCTGCACAGGGACATCCCCGAGTGTCACACCATGTGCCCAAGAGTATTGTCCAAATGCTTCTTGAACTCTGCTAGGCCTGATGCTGTGACCACTGCCCTGGGGAGCCTGTTCAGTGCCCAGCCACTCTCTGGGTGAAGAACCTGGTTCTAATATCCAACCTAACCCTCCCCTGACACAACTTCAGGCCATTCCCTTGGCTTCTGTCACTGGTCAGCACAGAGAACAGATCAGTGCCTGTCCCTCCTCTGCCCCTCACCAGGAAGTTGTAACTGCAGTGAGGTCTCCCCTCAGTCTCCTCCAGGCTGAACACACCAAGTGCCCTCAGCTGCTCCTCACACGCCTTCCCCTCAAGGCCCTTCACCATCCTCATTGCCCTCCTTTGGACACTCTCTAACAGCTTAACATCTTTCTTGTATTGCGTGACCAGATCTGCCACAATATTCAAGGTGAGGCCGCGTGCATTTGGATGATTTCTTGATCCTGGCCACTGAATGCTATTTTGGAAAAGATCCTCACATTTCAGAGGTGCCCTAGCCTGAGTGCTCTGCTGGGTGGCTCCCCCTCCCTTTGTGCACATCCCAGAGCATGCTGCTAACCACGGGCACACCAGTAAACGCCAATAAGCTAAATAAAATGCTACTGGGGCCAGTCTGTGGTGTCACAGGACTCAGGACACAGATTGCCCTGTTGGGTCTGGATCCTGAGAAGGCTGTGACAGAGCCCCAGATGATGTTCACCATACCTGGTCCCTGCAAGGCAGAGAGGGTGGTATGGCCAGGCAGGCAGGGTCTTGGTTCTTTGGAGAGGGTGTGACCTTCTGCCTGAGCTAGGGACACCTCTCCTGATGTTCCCACCAAGCCTAGGAAGAAGTGCTGGCCCACCATGCTGAGCTGGCCCAGAAGGAGGAGTAAAAACCTTAAGTACAGGGCTTTCCAACTTTCACTCTGCCTTAAGTAAAGGGAAGATGATCAAACAAGGACTTGCTTTTTTTTTTTTTCCCCTAGTTTAAGAAGTGTCTATGTTTAGAATTATATTTTTAAGGCCTGAAAAAGTGATGCTGTCAAATCTTGTAATTTTCCCTTGTGGACACCAACAGTGCACCTTCATATCTTAGAGTTGCTACTTTTTTCCTTTTACTACTGACGCTTAAGCCTCCCTGTCTGTAAATTGTGCCCCTTTATTTTCTGGGATGCTGTTTCCCCTCCCTGCCAACCAGCTCCCCTCTTCCCCCCTGCCTGTGTCCCAGTTGTGGTGGGTGCTCTTGTGCAGCTCAGTTCCTGCTGCTCCACTCCTCTGTCCTGCTCCAGGAGGTCATGGTTTCAAGGCACTGGCACAGCCTAGAGAAGGGAACCTTTGGGAAACCTGCTTTCACAGAATTAAAACAAATGCATGAGCAACACATTCTTTAACAAGGAGGACATTGAAAATCCCAGATTTTCTGAAAAGTAAAAAGCCCTCTTAAGGTGTCTTGTGCATTAAAACTCGTAGGGAACTTGAAGGAATTAAATGTATCAGCTTCTTGGTTGAACTGGACTGATGTGGCCGAAGCAAAACTGATTTCCACCAGCTGAAGGGCTGGGAATTTCTGTGCAGGGGTGGAATGGCCTCACCAAAGCCCAATACCCAAAGGCAGCCCCTTTGAGTAGGGGTGGGAAGGAAGCCCAGCAGCCGCAGCAGCAAGCAGCCCTTCCCTCCCAAAAGGCTTCCTCGTACCCTTAATTACAAGCAATTGGATCTCATACTACAAAGTTGTTAGAAGCAAACTTTGTAAATGTGCATTGTCATGGAGACAGTATAGATCAGCTGAAGGACCATATGGTTCTTTACTCCTTCGAGCTATCACTGGAAGGAGTAGACTGAGGAATATATTTAGTGTTTTCTTCTCAACGGATGACTAAAGATAAGGAAATAAAATTAGTTCGAGAAAATCCTCCTCCTTTCCTATGGGAAGTTGGCTGCTCTTTACTCTGCATTAGAAAAAAATATTACTGAGATCTCTTGTTTTACAGCTGATCATTGACAGGCATTTTGGAAAGGTCACATTCGAGAGCCTCTCTTCACAAGTGTACAAAGAAAAACACTATTAATTTCTTTTTCTTCAAAATTGTATGAAGTTGGTGCTTTTAAAAGCAGGGTCTGTGTGTGGTTTTTCACAGATAAGACAATTCTTCCTTAAAAGAAGACTCTTTTGATCATACCTATATGCTCACATCCACTTTAAGACCACTTCACTAGCTTGGGGCAAATGACAGCTTGGCTCCAAGGTCCTTCAGCAACCACAAATGAGCTAATGCTGGCATTGGTGGAATGAGTGGTTCCCTGCAGCCCCGTAAACTTGCCTCTTCCCTGGCCTGGAAAAGCCCTTGGCTGCCCCTCTGCCCTTTTATCAAGAATGCTAGTTGCTTTAATAGTGGGGTTTGTAATGTGATTTAGTAGAGCTGTGATGGAAATAAGGAGGCCCTTTGTCTCACAGACTTGGAGACAGGTGCACTGGGCTAAGAAATCACAGTGAAATTGTTGATGATATCACCATTTCTCAAGAAAAGCTTTCATTTGGGGGGAAAAAATATGATTTTGTCAAAGAAACAAACAGAAATGTCATACAACAATATTTGACCAGCATTATGAACCCCATTCACTGGCAACTGGACCATTGCAGCTCATATGAGCTGAACAACAGATGTAAAATTTTAGCAGCCAATCTTTAGCATAGAACAGCATTAGTATACTTCACCTGCTAATTAACAGTTTAAGCAAACAGTTGCTTTATGATACTTTATGTTACAGAGTTTATGGTACTTGTGCTCAGAAAGGGCAGCCTGACTGCAGTGTCTCAGCTGGAATTACTTGGGGGAAAATGTTCCCCTTGCCAGGCTGAGCCTCGTGTCTCCTCCTGGGCTGCAGGTGGAAGTGGAAGATAGGAAATTCTTTCCACCTGGTTGTGGTCTGCTTGGGAATAGTTATAATCTTCCCCATAATGTAACGGTTAGCATGGTATCTTAGGAATTTTGGGGTTGATGCTATGGGGTCTCTCTGAAAGCAAGAACACAGGCAAGTATGAAAGGAACATTGGCTGGGTGGCAACACAGGAGGGATCATATTGTTCGGGTCCCTTGATGCCCCTGGCTGGCTAAAAAGGCTCTGGTGCTTGGTTCTGGGGTGACAGCATTGCCTTTTAACAGTTTTCCATATTTTTTACGTTCAGCAAGACAGCAAGTTATCTCCTACAGGGAGCAGTGTCAGTCACAGGGTGGTAGGAGATTGCATGAATATTTGAGGATTTAACTGGCAGCTGTGCCAGGCAGCATGAACAGAAAGGAGGTGAATGAATAGGAAAGGGGTTTGACTGCAGGTTTTCAGACATTGGGAGGCTTTGTTTCCTAATGTTTTCGCTGTTTCACCGGCACGTGTGTGTGACCTGGGGTCCAGGGGAAAGGGACCAGAACAGAGCTGCCCAAAGCTGATTTCTGCTTCCCTCCTTTGGGTCCATGGTCCTGAGTGAGCTCCTACTCCGGGTGAGATCCTGTTTCCCTGGTCAGGCATGGGTTTGTCAGACTGGACAGGGGTGGGGGAAAGATAGACACAAATTTGGCTGTGATTAAGCAAATACAAATTTGACTTCATTGGTAACGAAATAATTGTGACATCTATCTTCTGCCTCAAATATTCACCCATTTTGCAATTGGAAGGCTTTTTTTAACACAAAACTATCTATTTTGGTTTAAATTGTGCCATGGAGTGCTAAACCAGAACACTGAAGAGGACATTCATAAGCCTGCAAAGTTGAGCCAAAAGAGAGGAGAAGCTTGAATTAACACAGCCAAACAGTTGAAGTTTGGCAAAATTTCCAGCTTCTGAAAACCAGTGTTTTTAATGGGACATACTGAACTGCTTTTTAACAGGGTGATGCTATACACAAAAAAAATGCACATCTTCTGTGACATATAACATAACTTGACAGTTTTAACCATGTGTGTAATTAGGGATATTGACTCCGTAACAAGTGAGAACGACTTTTTGCTGGCGCTTCATCCCGTTAAATTGAATCTTTCCCAAGGAGGAAAATCTAGGAGGCACTAGTCAGTCACTGACTCACTATCAGCTGCCTCCTTGCTAAAGCCTGAATGTATTCCATAGTAAGTTATTTGTCACAGTGACTCAGCATTGTAGGCTCCTTTTTAATTTCTCTCTCTCACCACAGAGCCAAGAAAATCTCCCACCTCCCCATGCCGTATGCTACTGAGATAGCAGTTTGTATCATCGGCCAAAGGATAACACATTTAAATGTATGCAAGGAGCCTTATAAGGGCATTAACACTTGCCTCCAGGTTGGACGTCACGATGGCGAGCCAAGGAAGAGGCGCCAATAATAGATTCCTTGTGTTTGTACGTGCCACGGTGACTATTTGTGCCATTCGTGGGAAACTGAGTGATATGCCAGACGGCGAAGTGTTTCATTTATCCAGAGTCACGGGGGTTGATCTGAGTGAGTCTTCACTCAGACATGCAGCCCCGTTCCTGGAAAGGTCAGCGAGCAGATCCTGCCAGCCTGGGGGCTGGCTGTGTGAAGGGGGCTGGGGACCCACCCCAGTCCTCTCCCGTCATCAGGTAGCTCCCCTTCAGCCCAGAGAAGTCAGTATTAAGTGACAGGGACTCTGAGCTGTGGCACTGTACGTGCCTCCACTTGGACACCTCTGCCCTGGCTTCCCCTGGGTAAATGGGGGATGATGAGATGACCTGTCCTCAGCCAACTGCCCTCTGTTCTCTGCATTGAAATGCCAGCCCTGTTCACTGCAGCGTTCCCCGGCTGGTGCCTCAAACCAGTGGGAGAAAAAGATGTTGAGCCCAAACGCCTGCTTGGATTACATCATTCCCAAAACCACAGCTTCGTCCATAGGGGGGTGGGGGAGGACAGCTGTGTGATGTGAAAAATGGCCAGTGGTGCCCATCTCGATGAAGAAACGGAGAGAAGCAGAATAATGCTGCTGTTTCTCTCTGCCACCTGGTGAGCCAAACGCTTTCTCATGGCATCGTCTCATGTTTACTCAAGTAATGACCTGCTTTCATATTGCTTTATCCCTCAGGCCATATTGGCCACAGGTGTAACCTGTGGAGAATTTAGAATTCAGGCAAAGAAGTCACACGCTTTTGTACTGACTGAGAAAAGCTGTTTATTCTGCTAGGAACTGGTCTGTGTTTAGCCAGCATGGGCAGGATGGGAACCAGACCAAGCAACCAAGGGCTGCAGGGGGAAAAGGTGGGTCTTATCTGCAAAGTTCCCCAAACATTCTGAAGAGGGAGCGCATTGCATAGATCACTTTTTTTATTTTAGTCTAAACTAATATAAAGTACTCAAAGCTCAGTCAAAGAAGTGAAGTTTGAATCCGTTTCGTCTGGCTTTTTGGAGTAAGTGTGGCTTTCAATTAAAAATTAAGGCTGCTGAGATCCAAAGAAAGGCAGACAAAACCCATGCCTGCTCTGCACCCTATGTGATGGGTGACAATCAAAAGGGGGAAAGAAAAATTAATTGGGTTACAACTGTACTTGAATGCCTACAAATGGAAGCCTGCACAACACTTATCTCATTTCCAAAATGTTCTATGAAATCCATCATTTTTGCAGTTAGGAATGCGCTGTTCTCCATGACAGAGTGATCCCACCACAGGCAGCAGCATCTTCCCTCTGACCAGTTTGCTGCCAGGTAGGAAAAGCACACCAGGAGTTTGGGAGTCCCTGTGTACAGATACACTCGTCAGTACAAACAAGAGCGTGCACACACTAACCCAGGCACTGTTTGTGACTCCGTGGCCAAGAGTTTTGCACAAACAAAATGATTGTGACTTATGCTCACCGTTCGGGCTCCTGTGCTGGCCAAGGGGGAGGGTGGATGTCTGTGTTCCTTTCCCTGATGGATTGCAAGGCTTCAGCTCCCGGAATTTTAAGGACCTCTTTCTGTGCTGACAGCTCCAAGACAGAGTTCTTGTGAATGATGTCATCCATCACGAAACCTCTCCAATCACCTTTGTGTAAGGATGTAGTTAGTGACCAGACAGCTCAGCTGAGTTCTGCATGTGCTATTTTTCCCCTGAATCCTTCCATCTTCTCCTCCCTTGTTATTCAAGCATTTATTTATGAAGGTATTTTGGGTACAAAGGTCGGGTTCAATAGTTCAATCCCCCAGGGGTTAAAAGCCAGTGTTTACTTAACACCACCTGGGATGGAAGGTGAGCCTGATGGAAGATACTCACAGGAAGGTCCATTCCCCAGACCCAGCCTTGTTAGCGAGGGGCAGGTTATGAGCTCCAGGAAAAATCTTCCAAGGTTGAGAGAAGCCTGGGAAATTCAGGCTGCCTGAGCTCACCTGAATGGCAGCATGTGTGCATATACACAGCTATAGATGTGTGTGTGTCACTGCTGCATTTTTCCTATTGTATGTGCAGCATTCTTGGTGCCTCTCCACGACACTACATGTTGCAAGTGTTGTACCACTTTGGAGGTTAAGAAGTGAAGAAAACCGTATGAGGCATGTTACTGAAATATTAACTACACCCCCTGGTTGGATCTCAGGTCTTTAAAACATTAGCAATACTCTAAGGGCAGATTTTGGAATCTGTTTTTTTCCAAGAGCAGGAAAACAGGAAAAATTCAGATTTTCTCCAGACCAGAAGTGCTAAGCTGATAAACAGTTTGGAGCATCACAGTCCACAGCACCATTAGCTTTGTTGTATCTTTGCAAAACTCTCCTCAAAGTCACCAGGAATACCTTGACAATATCACCTTTTTTTTCTTTTTCAAACTCTCCATCATCTTATCCCAAGAACCACTGTCATTATTAAGAACCTTCTGTGATCCAAAGTCCCAACTGAGATGACATTTTCAAGCTTGTCCATTTTTTTCTGATCTTTCAGATGGAAATGTATAGAGCTTAGGAACTAGCCATGTAAACAATTGCCTTGTACATATAGAGGCAACACCACAGGAAATGCTTTTCCAAAGAAAATGATAGAATGTGTTTCACATTACTGTAGGAACTTCAAATGTGCTGCTGACTTGTCACTTAGAAATGAAGAGAAAATAAAAGTATTTGTTTGATACTGGTCTATTTTATATAAGAGTCAAAGTATCTTTAATGTTTTTCCTTGATAACTGAGTAAAGCCACAGTAATGGCTTAGAATATAGTTCTCATCTTTCCCATCCATGATGGAAAACAATCACATCCTCAGAAATAGCATATGGGGTGGGTAGAGTGACCCACTGCAGAAGTGAAAGTAGAAGTAGGAATGTGTTGTACCAGCATTTTGACATAACAGTTTAGAAGTTGCAGGTGAGGATACTTCCATACAGAAACTTGAATGGTGATTCTGGATACTGATGTTACCTTTCCAATTGATTCGAGTTCAAGAAAAAAAATAGCACTATTTCCTAATAAAATGGTAAAATTATGCCATGAGGTTGCAACGAAAGCTCAAGTGGTTGAGTTCCTCAAAAGTTCCTTCCCCAAATGCTTTATTTCTTATCACCCTTGAAAGCAAATGGAGTCTAGTAGCAGAGTGTTATTACAAACAGCCCTAAGGCTTTGAGCAGGTTGCCTTTCTCAGGAGGTGAGCGTTTTGCTTGGTCTCCTACCAGCTAATGATAGCCCAGTCAACCACTGCAGAGTGAGAAGTGGCAGCCTCCAGCAGCTCTGAGAGTGGTGACCCTCCTCTTTCCAAGCATTCCTCAGAGGCAGCAAAGCAGGCACCACGGCAGCATAATGGGCTTCACACAGGATTTCGTGTTCTCTCTGAAGAAAAGCATCGCCTTTGCAGCACCGGGCGTCCATTATCCTGTATCAGCTCTCAGCTCCACAGACTTGTGATGACAAAATGGGCATTGACTTGTGAACATAACTGCCCTTGACTTTGCTTTCTACAAATAACTGCGGGACACGCAGCTGGAAAGAAAGTATTTGTGCTGTTTTTACAGCTACTGAAAACCGAAATCAAACAGACCAATCATCCAGCCCTAAACTACCCTGATGGAGCTCTGCAGTGGCCACCTCAGCAGCCACATGGCTCAGTCCTTGCAGAAGGTATGGGCTGTGACATCTTGACAATTTGAGTGTTTGCAGAGTGGAAAGGCTCACAGCTTTAAGTGATTAAAATAGGGCTGACGCGATTGCCATGGAAATTTCTTTGAGGCTAGAAGGCAGGTATCACCTCTGCTGGAGCAGGTCAGTCTGGGAGAGGGCCCTGCATAAGGTCCCCCTGTACCTCCCTGCTCTGTCCAGGGCAGGTCCTGCTGCTAAAATAAAATGCATTTCTTGGTTTATACAGAGGGTTGTGCAGTAGGAGATATGAAAGCAATCACTATGTCCCTCCTTTAGTTCATTCTCTTTATTTCTGAGGGTAATCAGGCCATGGCTGCTACCCGTATTAATACCTTGCATTTTTGTATCTCCTCCTGGCTGAAGGCCTCCAATCCATTTTTGTTAATAATCCCTCCAGAAAGGTAGCTTTTCCATTTCAGAGATGGGGAAACCAAGTCCCACAGATAACAGACTATTCATCTGCAGGTGTGAATATTGCAAGGGATGATAGAGCCCAGGTCTCTTAATTTCTAGCTGTACACTCCCACCCCCAGTTTTGAGGGAAGCTTCCATTTTTCCATGACCTGTAGGCATTGCTGCTTGCAGACAGGACCCAGCTGGTTGTGGTAGAGGAGAAGTGCAGCTGTGGAGGGAGCGTCAGCCTTATGTAAAAGGTGACACAGACACCAAACATCATCTAAAACAGCAGAATGGGGGGTAAAAAGGTCTCTCTGAAAGTGGAGCAGTGAGACGAAGTGACCATGGAGGGATGACGGCAGCGCTGGGCGATGCTTCATGGCTAATTGCTGCCTACAGTGTCCTAGCACTAAACTCCACACTTCTTATGTCTGTGACAAAACAGGAAGCCCAACACTCAGAAAGGCGAGACTACCTCAGCTGGAGAAGATCCTGCAGATGGATCTCTCGGCCATTGAAAAAGCTTTAATTTGAGATTGATTTTTCCGTGGGTCAGGCAGGGTTGCTCTTTCACACGGCAGTTCAGTGCTGGGGAGCGTTTGGTTGTTCAACCCTTCACCGTGAAATGCCGTCACTTTCTAATAAAAGCCTTGATTTGTAGTTTTGGGTTGCAATGCCTAGGACAGATGTCACTCTGCCCCAAAGTCATAAATCCTCATGGTCTTCCTCACCTGGCAGCCCTCTGTGATTAAAGCAAGAGCTCCTTGGAATGATGAATCACCGAGGCTCATAGGTATTCACTCGCCGTCTCACCGCTGCAGCCCACTCTGTGTTGTCCAGTCTCTGTTTGCCTGACATAAACAATAGATAAGATGTCAAACATGCAGAATTGCTCTGAAAGGAAACAGCAATGATCTCTAGAGCTCCAGATTCCTTATTTCCCTTCAAGCTTGGAAATTAAATGTGGGGATTCTCTAAAACTAACAAAAACACTGGGGTGGATGGCAGTTTCCTTTATTTGTGCATATAAAGCATGTTTCAGTGCAGCAGGGAGAGAGATGCCATTGATACCTCACAACAAGCACACAAATTACTGGTGTATTTTGTGTAAGTAATTCAGATCCTCTTGGGTTTTTTCCACAGCGTTCTCTCCTATTTATCAATTTCTTCCCTGTATCTCCCAGTTTGCTTGCATCTTCATTCATCATTCATTTACAAAGCCATTCTGAGCATCAGAAACCAATTTCCTCCCTGAACCCAGTCCTGTAACAAAACAAGGCTACCCTGCACACAAGCACTGTTATGAAGATGTGTGGTGTTTTGAACAGAGGAGTGTGTAGCAGGAGGAGGATTAAGACTAAAAAGAAGCCAAACTGTGTTTCATGAACTAAGTCTCGTCTTCAGCTCAGCATCCCTCCACAACATAAAAATAGATGCTCTCCACTTTGTTCTCACACACAGGTCTGTAAACTGCCATAAAATTACGCATCAAGTCAGCAGACACTGAATTTTGACTTGCATTTTTGTTCTCTTCTCACTCCTGGATCCTTGATTCCTTTCTCCAATCAGCTTAATTAGCCCAAGCCCACCCAACAAGTACCTGGCTAGCAGCTACCTACTCTACACGTGCTGCTCTGCCTCTGAATCACTGCCTTGACTGATCTCCAAGGGCTCTGCTTTACTCCCCCTCTGGGTGTGCATGTATGAGCATGCAAGCTGCAGGCAACCCATGTCTCATCCCTATCTGTAGATAGCAAACGTAAATCACCTGGGCTGTTACACAACCAACACCTTACATCTGTACGAATTCTCTGCTCTGTTCACTGGTGTGTTTGCTTTGGTGTGTCTGACTAGAGAATCTCCGTGGTGGCAGGACCTTCATGCCCTGCAGATGGAAGATTGCATCCTCCCAGGGTTTCCAGGAGGTAAGGAGCTCTTGGTGTCTCCTCGGAGGAGAGATCAGATGGCTTGTCCAGGAGGGCATGGGGAAGCATGAAGCAGCTTGGGTTTAGAGTTGTTCTGGGGTGTCCAGGCTCATGTTGCACGCTCCTGTCTGTCTCACCAATACCTGCATCCTTTATAGACCATGCATGTGTAGGAGGAGAAGGTGAGGGAGTCTGAGATTGCACAGCTACAGTGGTTTTTACACACTGTAGTACTGCTCCAATTTTATTGGGAGAAGCACTGTCACTTCTTAGTACTCGGCCATTGAACTGTGTATTGTCTGGGAGAGTGGTTAAGTGAGAATGTTTTTACCAATCTAGCCATAATTTCTGTGTGGGAAATAATGATTGTGTATTAAATTATTTTTGTTGACTTCAGTTTTTGCTTTTGATAAGATTGAGGAAAACACTGAGCACTTCAGATCCCGCTCTCATAGTCCCACCTATTCCTATAAACAAAAAGCCTTGCACGTGAAAGGGTCACATCTGTAGGACAGCATGGCAGAGACGTGGAGCCTTCCTGACTTTTTTTACCCTATCTCATGCAAATAACATGTTTTCACTGTAACACCTATGCTAACAGTGGTCCTCCAGTGCACCTCTGGCAAAAAGTTTTCAGATAGCTCATTTCAACCTACAGGGCATCAGGAGCTGAAAGAAACCATTTCTTGTGCCACTGCTCTCATTCTCTAAACTCCAGTTCTTATTCTCTGAATTGCTGCATTTCTATTCTGGTTTATGGCCAGTCTTTGTCTCCATGTAAAAAGCTTACAGGCGCATGTAAACATGTGTTACTCACATACGTATATTTGTACAGAAAGACTGGGAGGCAGTAGGTCAACATGATGCCCAATCTTTCGTTCTGGGACATGACACTCCTTTACATAGCCACAGTCCTCAGATCAGTAAAAGCCTTTTCACTTGTCAGAGCCCTTCTGCCACTCCTGCAGATGTTGGCCCATCCTCTCCTCTGCCTGGCAGCCCTGGGCTTGTGGGGATGCGAAGCGGTGAAGGGGGACCATGCCCTGCCTGCCTCCCATCCCATGAGCAGGCTGCAGGACTTGCCAGAGCATAGTGTGGACCACCAGCCATGCCTCCATAAGGAAAACTTGGAAAATCTTGTCTGAATCTCGACCTTGACTGCTTTGGGAGGAGAAGCAGGTTGCGAGGGCTGAGGTCCAAGAGAGAGGCTTAGATTTTAATCTGTTCCTAAGAATCTGGAGCTGCGCTGGAGTCAACACCTGGAGATGCCTCCTCTTGCCTGCAGCCCAGATGCACCTGAGATACCTAAACTCTTGTGTCTTGTGGCACCAGTATCTCCCCAGGTGCTGTTGTACTGGACTGGCACAGCATTTCCCACTGGGGCCTTCTCACTGTCATCTCTCCCGGTGCCCTCTCTGCTGCTGACCCCCAACAAATACCTCCTTACCCATTAGCATTTCCTGCCTTCCACACGGAAAACTTAGGTGTCACCTGCACCTAATCCCTCCTGGCTCCATGGGCTCCCATCCTACCCTGTTTCCTCTGGAGAAGCTGCTAGAAAGAGCCCACATGCTGCCGACAGCTTCTCTGGCTGGCCCGGGAAGAGGCAATTTCCTGCCTCCCTCCATAAAACACAGCACCACCTCCCAGGGCTTAGTGTGCACTCTGACATAAGGACAAAATTATTTCAG